TGACATTTTTTTTCTGAGCCTATGGAGTAAAACTACAGTTACCTAACATATTCCACGTGGCATAACTAAAAAAAAAAAAAAAAACTGTCTTTGTCTACATGTTGTATGTCTGTATGTCCTTGTGTCTAACTGTCTTGGCCTCTAGAGGTTAAAATTGGTATACATGGTGCCCATAAATGTTAAAAAAATAAAGAGTCTCCAGTTATGAGTAAACACAAAGGTTATTGTTTGATTGTCAACACTGTGCTACTGAACTAAGCCGGTGCCCTCATAGACATTGAATATTGTTGTTTCTGTTAATTTTCTGATATTTATGGCAAATTGGATATTGTTGTTTCTGTTAATTTTCTGATATTTATGGCAAAGCTTCCCAAAATCTAAATTCAAGTACAAATTTGGTAGCCTGTCATTTGACTGATGCAAGGAAATTTTGTGGAACCTCAGTAGAGCTCCTGAGACACTCCACAAAGTTTCTCCCTTTCCTCCTGGGAAGGCATTAGATGAATTTGTTTTATTTGGCTTTTACCTAATAAAGTAAAACTGGAAGGAAAGCATTGTCACTTGGTAAAATGGTAAAACTTTGGTATGTACAAAATGTTAACAGTAGTTTTCTAAAATGTGTATGAAAAAACCTCTCAGTATCTGGTATGTATGTAAATTGTCAATGGTGATTGTCACCTTGTAATATTATATAATTCAATTGTTTCACACCTACACAAATTGTTTCTGGAAATATAGGGAGAAAAGGTCTCAACAAATTCCTATTAATGAAACTGTTGAGAGTAAAAAACTTTCCTACAAAGGACTGAATAGACCTGGAAATACACCTGACATTTACAAGTTTTCTTTGACATAATACTGGTAATTTTTTTATGCATTTTGTCCTCAATACACAAAGTTTTGTTTTGTTTTGTTTTGTTTTGTTTTGTTTTGTTTTGAGTAACCAGGATCTACAACAAGGTTGCAATTTTTTCCAGCAAAGCTAACTTGTGTTTGCATTTTCTCTCCCCTTGATACCAACACAGCATAAATATAGTGGTAGTAATCTTTTACTACTTATCTCAGAGTCTGTTTTTGCATAACTTCCATAGGGATTTTGTCTGTTTTAACAAAAAATTGGACGTGGTTTGATTGTGTGGCTTTGTGTGGAGTTCTTCCAAAAAGTTGAAAAAGAGCTGAACCAAGAAGAGGAGAACCTGTTTGCCTTGTTTGTAGGGTTCCAGAGACCTCCAAAGAAGGTGAGGAAGCTTGCCTCCATTGGCAGGACTGGACAACCCGGCCAACGAAAATGCCCTGGTACCCTCGAGAAGAGGAAAGCCCAGGTGGAGTCTGATGAGACCAACTTTATACCTGAAGCATACATCGACTGGATGCCACCGGTTCGCTCTGATCCTGTATGGAGTATTTCAACAAAGCCAGCTAAAAAATTGCTGTTAGTTATTTTCTGCCCTGTGATTTTATGCAAAAATAGGAAAAATTGTTTAAAAGTAAATTTAATTTGCAAACTTTTGCTATGCTGTTAAAAAGTTTGGGATCAAGGTTGAGAGAATTCGTTTTTGCATAAGTTGAACCAATTTTAAAATTTTTTCCCTGTGATTTTGATATATTTGCTGTCTTGTTTTAGCCAATGCTCCAGATTTTTTTTTCTTTTGGCTTGGATAATGGACTATTTTTAAGTAATGAAACTGTCATACTGGACATTCATGGACAATGCTGCTGACTAATTGTTGCTTCTCTTACACACATTGTAACCCTAAAAAAAAAGACTGTCTCCTAATATTACACCATGAGATCTGTGCCACCATAGATATGGTGGAATAAAAATTAAAAGGGGGGATTGTAACAGGGTGGTCCCCAGGAAAGGGGTAGGTTCCCTGCCCCACCCAAGGGAGGGTGGAGCTGAGTAGGAAGAGGAGAAGCTGCAGAAGAGACTGAGGAAGGAAGCAGGATGGAGCCAGGAGACCTGGAGGAGGCGCATGGAGCCTAGAGACACGTGAAGAAACTGCGCTTGTCTTTTGGTTGTGGACTGGGTGACACAGATGTGGGTGAGACCCATGGGGAGGTGACAATGGCAGCTTTTATCTTGATGTTGATTTTGCTCTTTTCCTTCCGGGCTTGTCTGGTTGTTTCTGACTCTTTTCTGTGGGTCCCCACTGGAAGATGCTTTAGACTTGTAGCAGGCTTTGGGGCCTTGCTCTGGGCCGATCCCATATGGATGGAGTTTTACCCACGAGGGGACGGGTATCTTTGGGTGCTTCACTTAGAAACTAGACTCTTTGCCTTACCTGTATTGTTTCCTAGTTTTATTAAAGTTCCTTCCCATTAAAGTCTCATATGTTTTGTGTTGATGTGGCGGATGGCAGAACCCATTTAGAATAGGCAGGTTTGCGGGGTTTGGGCTGCCCCTCTCCCTGTCCTATAACATTTACACCCTTTGATGGACTGGGGTTGTTTCCACGTTATTTTACCTTACAAGAGGGAAATGATGTGATCTTACTCAGAGTACTGAAGATGCTCAGAAACGGGGGATACTTGGGAGGACCCCAAAATCTCTGATCAAAGCCTAGTGGGACACAAGCAGTCTGGGTGGAGAAATGGGTCAGAGTGAGAGCATCATCTGGCTTTGGTGACATCTCAGAATGGCCATCGGGTAGGATGGAAGGTAGCTGATTCCACGGTCTTGTCTTGGGTGTTTGGGAGGATAGAGAGGCCCCTAATTGAGAAGAAGAATAAGAAGGAAGGAGGTGGACCAGAAGGAGGTAGGGAATAAGAGGATGAGGAAGGGAGGAAAAGGAGGAGGAGGAAGAGCTTTGGAGTCTTTGGGTATGGGGTGAATTCAGGAAGATCGTGCTGGAATTTGCTCTTGTGATTTGAGGTGTTTTTGGGGCATCCGAGTAGAAAGGCTAGGAGACAGGTGTGATAACAGAGTGAGAAGAGGCCAAAAAACACAGGTGAAGAGAAATGTACTCTTCTGCCCTCCTCACCGCTGCTCGCTGCAATCCTGCAGGCTCTTAAAGCCTCTGGAAGAACCTCTCCAATCCGTTAGCAGGATGCAGAGTGCCCTCTCGTGGCACTATCTTGAAACTGCAACTGAGCCTATCCCCTAGGGCAGAAACCTCTTTCCTGAATCCAGAAAACAGTTTTTCCCATTAGCATAAGAAGGAAATATGACACTGGCCCCAAACAAAGTGTTTTAAGATCCTGCACATAAGGATTGGGTGCTGAGTACTTGAGGGTCCAGAGAAGCCCACTGCTCCCTCAGCAGGTGTCTGAGTCTAGCTGGCACCTATGGACAGCACAGTGAAAATGATGCTTGGATAGATGGATGTGAAGGCAAGGTTAATGGGACGTAGTGTGTGGGTGTGGCGTAGAAGGCTCCTTTCAAGTGAGACCGGAGTAGGAGGCTTGATGGCCCTGGGGCAATAGGTATACATCCCAAGGTATAACCTGAATGCCAGGGGGGCCAGTGACTGATCTACTTTGCACCCCAGGGACTGATCAGTGGAACAACGCCTTGTTAAGGTTGGAGCCATGGGTGGGAGTCAGAGTAAATCAGTGAACTCACCCTCCCTAAAGCCCAACATCCAGTGTTCATTTTGAACCCCTTCTCTGCCTGCTGCACGACTCCTGTTTCTTTTCTTTATCACTGCGGTGTTGCTGTCAACAGTCATGGAGGTAGAACAGGGTGTATACTGAAAATATTTGGGGGTCACCCTCATGCTGCTATACTTCCTTTCAACTGTGAATGGACAAGCAGACTTTTCCAGCGAGACAACTCTGGTTTAAAGAAATAAGTCTGCATGGATGGTCCCTATGCAGCATCACAAAGTATAAAACATTTTGTCTTGATCTTCTCTTCTTTTAATTGGCTCTGCCTCAGTTTAAGTAAAGGCCATTTCAAAAGTCTAAGCATTTATTTCAATAGAAAATACAGGGATCACAGCAGCACCTGCCTGCGGCATGTTGTATTTGATTAGGATACAGGCTTGGCATTTGTGAATGATAAAGAGAGCCTTCAGCCAGACAAGGATTTATTTCTCTCATCTGAAGCATCTGGGTTTAGGCAGTGAGGTTTGGATTGGTGACCAGGACTCAGTCTCCTGAGATTCCTCTCCTGGTGGGCCCCCCAATCTCTTCTGTCACTCTGGAGTGGAACCTCACATTCCAGCCTTAGCCCTGGCCTGTTCTTGTGCACTTTAGATTTCCATGTTGAGCTCACATTTTCCTCCTGTCACTTGTTACCTTTATTTATTCACAGGATAATACTATTTTGAAATATCAATCACTATGTTTTTTCCTCTTGACTATTTGAATTTTTTTTGTAGCCCTCTTAATGGATATATATATATATATATATATATATATATATATATATACATACCGTCAGGGGGAATGTGGATTTCAAATCGATAGACTAAAGAAGTTGTTTTTTCAGCTTTGAATTTCAAATTGGATCAAAGGATCAAAAAAAGTGTAGCCTTCAAATTTAGACTTTCAAGGATAATAGGAAAGTTGGCTCAGAATTCTAAAGACTGGGAATGATTTTCTTAATCAAGGTACTTGGCATGGAAGGTTGGCGCTGGAGAAATCCATAGTGGGGTGAAGGAAGGCTCTGTCTCACAGAAGGAAAAGACACTCAGGACAGGTGAGGCTTAAGAAAAAGTCAGGTGTGAGAGTTCTGCTCTGTCTTTTGGGGTTCAAACCTGTGGAAAGTGATGGATGAGTCAGTTAAGATGAAAAAACACACTCAAGTGAACCTGGAGCGAGTCCAAGACTATCAGGGCCCGCGCCTGCTTCCCCGTGCGTTCTACAGGGGACCCCCTCTGATGAGCTGTGGTCTGTATCGCAAGGCCATTGTCACAGGGTGGGAAAGCTCAGTTAACTGGAGTAGAGGGTGCTGTCTCCCAGGGAGGGAGGGGGTGCTGGCGAAACTGAGGTACAGAAGAGTCTCGGGCTGGTATTAAGGGCATCACAGGATTCTATGACCTCACATTCAGGGGATACCAGGGGCGGGTGCCGGAACCTTGCCCGAGGGACCTGGTGGTCCAGTCCATGCTACACTGGGTGCCCCAGGTCAAGAGCTTGTAAGTAAACATTGCTTGCTTGAAGTAGATGCCAAGCTGAGGGATCAAATGCTGTGGGGCAGGGGTGGGAGGATGGGACAAATGATAAAAATCTCACATTTCTATAGCATTTCTTAGTTTGAAAATGTTTTCTGTATTGTGCACTAGAAGAGGTAATTGTTGTTGATTTTACAGATTAGATAACAAGTGTTACAAGGCAATTTGGCAATGAGTCAGTTTCGTCTCCAGCAGTCCCGAGTCTTCTTTCTCTAGACCCGCCCTGCCCCTTCGCCCTGCCCCTTCGCACTGCCTCCTGGGCCTCCCCAGTGACACTGGCGGAGATTTCCAGAGTTCATCGCACTCCTGGCCTGCAGGAAGGGTGGCTACTGGGGCTGGGTCCCCACATCCTCTGCAGCCTTTGCCCCCTGACTCTTGTCCCACAGCACAGCAACAAGAGGCTGGTCCAGGGTGATGTGCTCCACGTGGCAGGCGTGGAGGGCTTTGACCTGAGGGGGGACTTCCAACACCAGCCAGGCCTGGTAAGTGCCATTTCCACTGGGAAGAACCACTTGCCCTGACTTGGTCTCCTGCGTGACACCATCCTGACTCCAGTGCAGACGAATGCCTCGTGGGTAGAAGTCATAAGCCAGGCACTTGAGGGTCCTCGTACTTCCTGGGGCCGCGTGACTGCTGAGGGCCACTGAGGGAGGATCTGTGGGGGCACCGTGTGTGGTTATGGAGGCCTGGGGCAGCCTCTTCCTGTTCTCATCTCCCCCACCCTGTCCCCACGCCCGAGCTGTCAGCCAGGCAGGGCTCTGAGTTCTGTATCTGCCTTCCCAGGGAAGCTACCAAGATCAGGGAAGGCTGAGCCTTCCCTGTCATATCATGGAGGTCTGTGCTGACTTTCTTGCCTCCTTCCCACCCCATAGTCTATTTAGACTTCTAATAGCAAGAAGATGTGAATGCCCCCTGTATTCTCTCTCACCCCCCAGCCCCAGCAAACCTTGGCGTGGGCTCTGTGGCTCCCCGATCCCCCAGTCTTTGCTCTGCCCCTAGTTCTGTCTTTGTTTCTGTCCATCCATCGGCTCCTTCACTGCTCCCTGCCATACTACCCTCTTTCTCGTTCTCAAAGCAAAACCTCAGCTGGTGGCCACCAATTCTGCCTCACTTGCTCATCTGCATTCCTCTAGAAGAGAGCACACCTGGCTTCTCTCCTCTGCCCAGCCAGGAGGCATCACGAGAGAGCAGCCATGGCAGGGTTTGCCTGAGCTTCCAGCCCAAGATCACCTTGGTCTTTCTCAGCTGGGTGGGAGGGTCAGGGGAGGGCAGAGGAAGCGGTGGGTACCTTTCTGGTCCAGATACTTCTGACCGTGTTGCAGGTATCTCTGCAGCATCCCGGGACACTCCTCTTCCAGGTAGGCCTTGGCCCGCTGCACATAGACCGCTTCTGCCTCCCACTTCTGCTTGACATTCACAGCTGCTGGGTCCAAGGGGACCCAAGCTGGGATTTCCTTGTTAAACTTGATGAAGTCCTGTCCGTCGTAGGCGTAACTCCAGAAGGCTCCGCTGCTTTGGTTGCTCCAGAGCTCACAACCAAACACTCCCTGGAAGGTGTGAGACCCTGCACCCTCCCCCAACCCCATGGGAGTCACTGAACTTGGCTTCAACTCTGTCTCAGTCTCACACGACAGGAGACAGGCCCACAGGAAGAGAGGTTTTTGAAATCTAAGCCCACATTGTTATCTTGGTAAGATATTAGCCAGGCATACAGCAGACACAGAGAAGGAAACGCACATGGTTTGGTGTTTTAGGTCAGTCTGAGATGTGAGATAGTTCTTCCCAGCCAGCCAATTTCAAAACACCACAGTCCCCAGCCCCTCTGTGCCATCTCATTAAGAGCTCCACTTGCTGACTATACTGTCAGTTTTGGGGCGTCTGACATTACCACACTGACGTGCATTTCCAAGTTAAATAGAAATTATTTGTAACCTTATAGAGATTATGAGCCCTGTGCTTTCTTTCTGAATTCTCCAGTACTCTGCCCACCCCCTCCCCGCGCCCCCAAGCCTGCTCCTTATGGACAAGAGGATCTTTATAATTCCATTGCCCCTCTCTCTATGGTTTTTAATTCCATTCTTCCTGCGCTCCTAGTATGGGCCATGGTTTGGGCCAGGTACTTTCTCTCATCCAACAAATTTCACTTCAGTTAGTCTTGTTGATGCGGCTCCAGGGAAGAGGAAGCCAGACTGTGTTCTAGCTTTCATGGGATCTCTTGGATGTAAAGCTCAGCGCTCCAGGTTTTGCAGATTCAGATCAGGTAACTAAGAAGGGTGTTCACTGTGAGACCGTGATGGGCGGCCCGACCCCAAGAGTGGCCCAGCACTTGGGCGGTGTGAGTGTTTCCCTGGGCATGGTGAGTGCGAACCCTTCTAAAGTGGATCCACCTGAGATGGGTAGGGGTGTGGAGCTGAGAGGTCAGATGTGCTTGGGTAAGAGCTGACTCTGACATCACTTCCTGTGTGAGTGAGGCCTGGGAGTGAGGGTGAGGGCTGTGATGGGGAGGGAGGAAAGCAGGTATGTTGTGGGGTGGGGAGAACAGAAATGTCACTGTATTTCTACTTATACTTGCTTGTCCTCTGGGATTTCCCTTCTACTAACCTCTCTCCCCTCACAGTTGCTGGGCTGCCTCTTGAGTTATACCGTCTATCCCAGCAGTCTGTGGGCTACTGACCTTTTCCATCCTTGTAATAGTCCATGATGTCCTTCAGGGTCTCCATGAAGATGTCCTCCCTGGCCTTCTGAAGTTGGCTCTCCTTCTCCCAGTCCTCCATTCCTTCCAGCTGGCTCCATGGTTCCAGGGGCTCAGCCTTCCTGCTGTTGCTGTCATAGCGGAAGAAGGCCTGGTCGTTGAGGTAGGCAATTGCCTGAAAGCTGGGGAAACCCACACTGGGTTTGGACAACCCAGTGTAGAGAAAACTCAGAGAATAATGTTCTGCAAAAGAGGAAAGAAGACTTTGAGGTGTGGGGTCCATGCAGGGGAGTCCCAAGGTAGGCAGCAGAGGGCCAGGAGAAGAGGTCTGGGCACTGGGCCTCCTCCTCCCTGGCTCTTACCCAGCTGTCATGTGGACTGTACTTGGATTCCTTGTAGGTATTTTGGGACCTTGTTGAGTTCTGTCAAAAGGGATTGTGACTGGACGTGTTGTCTTTCTTGTCATCTCAGTTTGCCCCCTCTGTTTCTCTTCCCTTTAGGTGATGACATTGGAGGCCACAGGATGAAACAAAAGTGTCCCAGGATACAAACAGTCTGGTCTGGATTCCTGAGTCCGCCCCGCCCGCCGCCCCCCCAACCCCGGAGGGAAGGGAAACTGCCTAGTCTGTATTCAACTTTACATGACCTAGAAATAAACATTTGTTGGTTAAGTCACTAAAAACTTTTTTGTTCCTGGAACATAGCCTAAGGATCTTATTCAACAAATACATATAGTTAGAATGTATAGGAAGGGAAATTTATTAGAAAATTCCAGAAATGACATAGATGGATTGATACAAGGTTATACTAGTATGGATCTCAGATTTTCCAGGGTTGTAACTTGCATTTTGGTATGAGTCAGGGATGGGAGAAGGGGAACATTTCCACAATTAATTCATGATAGCACTCACATGATATAACATCTAGCAGCTTCCTAGTTAAAATACTGAATCATTATAGCTAATTTATTTCCAAATGTAACATTATCCTTCATAATGTGGATGGGCCTCATCTAATCAGTTGAACGCCGTAAGAAAAAAGACAGTAGACCTTGAATGAAGCAGATTATCCTCCATAATATGGGTGGGCCTCATCTAATCAGTTGAAGGCCACCAGAAAAAAGACTGAGAGCCCCCAAACTAGAAGGGATTGCCTCCTGATTTCCTTTTGACTCAAGACTGTGATATCAACTCTTTCTTGGGTGTCCAGCCTGCTGACTTGCCCTACAGATGATTTTGGATTTGCCAATTCCCATGATTGTGTGAATCAATTCTTAAAAATAAATCTTTCTTTCTCTCTGTATATATATCTTATTAGTTCTGTTTCTCTGAGATATCTGTCTAATATATCGGTATAGGATATGATTAACATTCTAAATATGGTTATCATAAAAATAATATAAAATACATACTCCGACAACTTCTAAATGCAATGAATTTTAAATTTGTGCAGTTTAGCTTACATTTATTCCTGAACTTTAGTATTACAAAAGCAGCCTCATTCTCCTGTCCTAGAAATGACTCTGATATTCTTTCTAAGCTCTACAGCCTAGTCTTCTGACCATTTGCTTTTTGGGCTCACTGTAGTGAAGTTTTTGGGGTCGAAGGGATGGGTTTCCTTCTAGAACCAACCCTCCAGTTCGCTTGCCCTCATATTCTGGGTTCACTCTTCCCATGAATCGGACATTGGAAGGAGGGAAGGAAGAGTAGAAAAGTTCTACCTGTGTGGTTCCTGCTCTATGCTGGGCTGTGTGACCTTGGCTAGGTTACTTTACCTCTCTGAGTCTTAGTTTTGTTCATCTGTAAATTATAAGTTTTAGATTCTGATTCCTTAAGGTCTCATTTAGCATGAATCCAGAGACTCCCTGAATGCTTGTGGAAGTGTGTGGCTACCCACTGCTACAGCTCACTTGGGATTCCCAGCTGCACCAAACACCCTCTCCTAGTCCATCTGTCCCATTCACACCATGCACCCCCCGCCACATTCTTCCCCATACCAACCCTGCTTCCCCACTCACCATCCTGGGTCTCCTGTGGGACAGCAGGGCTTAGAAGGAACAGGAGGGACAACAGGACAGGGACCATTGTGCCTCTTGTGCCTGTTGGAAGTTTCTGGACTGCCTCAGTTCCTGGAGCTCAGAGCAGATTACTTGGAGGTAGAGCCAGGTGTAGTTATGAGAATGGCTGGGATTTGTGCCCAGCACAGGGGAGGAGAAACCAATGGCCAATGAGAGTGGAGGACAGGCTCCTCCCCACACTAAGAGAAAAGGATGCCCAGCCAAGCTGGGTTGAGGTCATGCTCAGTGTCTACAGACGGTGTACAAATCTCAAGTTGAGACAGCAGATCTGAAGACTGGCACTTGTGTATCCACCAGGGGAAGGGATGCCAGTGGGCAGAGGGCGGTGTGATGAATGGCAGATACCTGGGACATGTCACTTTCCAGTCTATCAGCCCATCCTCACCTTAGGCTCAGTAGGGGGGTCCGGGTGTTGCCAGATCACCCCTTACCCCAGCAGTAGTCGTAGAGGTGTCTGGCCTGCATTGAGGGGTCACTGGCACCCTTTGTGGCCTCTGCAACCTCCGTCAGCAGCATGTTTACTGGAGTAACTCTGGGTGTGATTCTGCAGGTGTTTCACCTGCCTGATTCTGAAGCTTCATTTCTCTAGCCTCTCCATGGGTTCCGAGAGCTAGACAGGACCTACATTTATTTCCTGCTTGATATCAAATAGGATTCTATTTCAGCAACCAGTGATTCTGACTGATACTGAGATTGGGAAGAGGATTGTTTCCAGGTAACAGTTGCTAAGGGAAACGGAGGGGAAGCTAGGCTGGTTACAAGGCCAGAGTGGGCTGAAGGCCATGAAAATACAAGTATCTTGGGGAGGTTCTTATTGGTTGTGATATGCAGTGGGAGAAAAACAGCTGCGAAAGTTGTCTAGTGTGGTCAACAAAAAAGAAATGCTCACAGAAGGCCTAATTTTAGGTCCCAGGCTGATACCATAGGCCAGTGTGCAGGACTTGGGGAATGCAAGGACAAACCTGGGAGGTTGAGTCCAAGCGTGCTGGAGACAGTGCACGTAGCTGGCATTCTCAGTATCCTATGTGTTCGCTTTTATGCATTAAAAATTATCTTGAAAAAAATCCATACATTTTTAATTAAAAAATTAAAATTATCTTGAGAATAACTGGTCAGGGAGCAGGTGGCACAAAAGACTAAGAAGTACTGACATGGGGGGGTCAGTGAGGCAGAGAACATGGGCCGTGAGGGGAGACACAACAGTGGCCCGCACCTTGTTTTCCGGAATCTGATCCCCAAGCTCCCATTTGAATTGCTCACTAGGCTGAGCACTAGAGTCAGAGAAGTGAGCGCATTGGACACATCCCTGTCCTGTGGCATCTGCTGTCATCTGCCAACAGATGTTCTGTCCTTGGCCCATATCCCGCTCACCTGCAACAGCTCTCACGATTTTCCTGATGCCATTTCAGACGAGCTTCTTCACAGGGGAAGTGCTCGGTACTCACCGTCTGTACCTATCACACGACATTGGCAGGGATGTCTTGATCATCTTGGCTATTAACTATATGAGGCTTTGTAATTAGGTTACAAAAACCTAAACTTTTTGTTATTAGGCTTTAGGCTTTAATCATTAAACATTATTAGATTTTTGTCTGTTTCATCTTTACAACTGTGCAAGGCTGTCGATCCTTTCTGAACAGTCAGAAATAGCCTGATATTCAGATTGTGCTTTGAGGCAATGGTTTTGGCTTTTGAGTATGTCCTGTATGAGCTGAGGTCTGAGAGTGAGGGTTGGGGTATCACGGGGGGAAAGAAAGCAAGTGTATTGTGGGGGATGGTGGTGAATACAGAAATGTTTGTGTGTTTCTACTTCATTCTTTTATTGACCTCTGGGGGTCTATAGTTAGTTCATGCTAACTCCCCCTTTTCATGCCTGCTGGGTCCTTCCCCCTGAGCTGGGGACAACAGTCCACTCCTAATTTTCCATCCACCACCCTCAGTCCACCGGCCTTCTTGGTTCTTGCAATAGGCCATGATGTCTTTCAAGGTCACCATGAAGATATCCTCCCTGGCCTCCTGAACTTGGCTCTCCTTCATCTCCATGCCCACCACCTGGCTCTTATTGCCTTCACAATTATAGAGAAACAAGGCCTAATCTTTGGGGTGGACAGTGGCCTAAAACCTGGAAAAATTGGTGTAAAGAAGTAAGGATCTGCAAAAGAGATGTTTGAGACACGGATCAACTGTGAGTTCCACTCTGGGGCAACAGAGGATCAAGAAGGAAGAATAGTCACTGGGACAAATTGCAACCTCCCAGCACTGCGGGCTCACTTGGGGAGAGGACTTGCCTTTGTATGATGGAAAATGCAGGATGAGTTTTCTAGAAATTTAGGTAATGAACTAGATAGCATCAGCATGAGATAAAACTGTGATGCTGTGTTATCACCAGTTTCTTGAGCTAAACTTGTTACTAAGTAGAATCTTTGCTTGTAAATGTTACAGATTTGAAATCTGCACAATCTTAAGAAAGTACTAGCTTATTTTTTTTTTCCTCCAGAGTTGTACACAATGATGGGCTTGGGACTAGTTTAGTTCCCCTCTCTCCAGATCATATAATACCCCAGGCAGTGCTGTGCTGTTCTATCAGTTCTGGGGAGATGTTTTCCTTTTTTTTTTTGGTTAAGATTTTATTTATTTATGCATCCAAGAGCTGGGGTACAGGCCAGAGATGTGGGGGGTGAGAGTTTTCAGCAGAGACAGAGTGGGGAGCAGAACAGGCAGAATGACTGAAGGGGAGTAGCGGGCAAGACAGGAGAGGTCTGCCTCGCCATGTGGGTTGCTCCCTAGCAGGCTGGGGATTGAACTTGTGCTGCAGAGGTTGGGGATTGCTTCATAATGCTGTGCTTAACCCCTTCCGCCACCAGGGAGGCCCAATGTTTTTCTTCTAGTCCTGACGCTTTCCTTCTGTTGACTCATTCTCGATCCTTGTTCCTTGGGGTCTCTCCCACAAACCAGATAGATGCATCCTGTCATAGAAAAGAGGGAGGGAGAGAAGAAAGAGTTTCTTTCCATCACTCTTGGAGTGTAAAATGCGAGGTCTGCACTCCCTACCCTTGGGTGATCCCTGCATCGTGGGCACCCTTCTGCTCCAGGTCTTGGCACATATCACCAACATATGGCTGTGGGAGGAGACTGGTCTCATCTGGTGGGAGGAGGAGAGACAAAGAGGGCACTGTCCACTGGAATAAAGAAGTGGGACGAGAGTTCTCTTTACCCTTGGGGGCTTCTTTCCTGGCATGAACCCTCAGAAAGTTATTGTGAAAGAGAAGTTTGTCTTGGTGTTTAGGGTCCTCTCAGAAGCCCAGAAACAGTTAGACATAACCCTCTTCCCCCGCCCCCACCTCCAGCGTCAACCTTAGCCTCCTCCCCCAATACCCATATTGACCAGGGTGCTTTGGACATAAATAAATGGAGCCATTGAGGAATCAGGAGAAATTCATGCAACTTTGAAAAATATGCCTATTCCTTGAACCCTGCATGCCCCCCCACTTTCCAGCCCCCACTTTAGTTGTTTAGACAAGGAATTTGGTCACTATGACTTGACCATCGGCACAATTCCAAATGGTGGGGTCACAGCTGTCAGCTTCGTGGGAGAGGCCATGAACAAAGACGCTGAAGGTGCCTGATTCAGTTCAGTCTTAAGAATGTTTAGCAGGGCCTCCCTGGTGGCACAGGCGGTTGAGCACAGCACTGTGAAGCTGTCCGCAGCCTCTGCAGTACGGGTTTGATCCCAGCCGGCTGGCGAGACACCCACATGGCACAGCAGACCTCTCCTGTCTCGCCTGCCGCTCCCCTCAGCAGTGTATTTCAGTAGATCTGCCTGTTCTGCTTCGTGCTCTGTCTCTGATGAATCCTGTCACCCTCCCGCGCCTCTGGCCTGTACCCCAGTGCTTGTATAAATAAATAAATAAATCTTAAAAAAAAATAAAATAATGACCTTTTTTCCCTGGTAAATTTTTTTCTCTGACATCTAATTTGATGTTAACATAGATACTTCATACAGTATTTGATATCTCCCCTCAGGTGTAGTCCCCTAGGTCTCCCACCACCTGTGACCATCATCATAGTCCCTTGTGCTCTTCCCTCCCTGTTTTGACCCCTCCCCCTCTTCTGCCCCCGCTGTGTGCCTCAGCTCTATGGTTAGTTTGCAAGTTTTGTCTTTTTCCTACTGTACAAAAATTATAATGATGTAAATAATAAACTAAAAATATATACTTTGGCTTTCTTTGATTGGTGTTAACATGGTATATTTTTGCATCCCTTTACCTTTAAGTTATTTGTGTTTCTATATTTATTTATTGCTTTATTCTTTTAATAGCTACTTAATATTCTATAGAATGGATGTGAATATTTCTTTCCCACCACCATTCCTTATATTCCTTTGACACTTTGTTTTTTCTACCTCCCTCAATCTCTGAAACCTCACTTCATTTATTAATGTCCACTTATTTTTTATAAATATTTTGCTTTGTCTCGTTGTCTACTGTGTAAATATCCGACATCTGTCTTTGTTCTGATGTGCTTTGCTACACACAGTTCTCCCAAGTTCCTTTCATTTTCCTGTAAATGGTAACATTTGTCTTTTCTGATGGCGGGATAGTATGGCACTGTGTGGATAAACCATCTTTTCTTGATTCAATCTTTTGCGAGTGGGCACTTAGGTTGTTTCCATGTCCTGTATTGTAAACAATGTTCTTGATCTTAGCACAGTTACACCATTTCACATACAGAAAATGAATCTTACAAAGTATACTCCCGCTTTTCCCCTCCTGGCCTGTATGTAACAGGGGTCACAACACACTCCATGGTGTCCCCACCACACGTGAAGGTCTTCCTTACTGAAGTCATTATCAAGGTTTGGGAGAAGCGGCTGTTTTTTGAAATGTGCAGACAACTATCATTAAAAAAATGGAAAAATGACACCACCACAGGCACACAGTAAACTTCCCATAACTGCTCTCAAACAAATGGAGATATATGAATTGCCTAAGAAGACAAAATAATTGTATTCTCAAGAGCTATTACAGAACCCTGATGAAGAATTCAACAAAATCAGGAAAACGATATAAGCACAAAACAAGAAGTTTAACATAGAGATAGAAAACATAAAAAAGAGTCAAACAGAAATTTTGGAAGTGATGTGCACAATGACTGAGTGGAGGAATTCAATAGAGAGCTTCAGTAGTGAACTGGACAGGAGAAGAAAAAAATAAATGAAGCTGAAATAACATCATTTGAAATGATCAGTTAGAGAAGGAAAAAGATTAAAATGTAAAGCAACGAAGAAAGCTTTTGTGTCTTACAGGACACTATTAAGAGAAACACCCTATGTATGTATCTCTGGACTCCCAGAAAGAGAAGAAGCGGGGATGGGGCAGAAAGCTTATTTATTTTTTTTCTTTCTTAAAAATTTCAAGTGTAGTACTTTTTTCTTACATTGTTGTTAATTTTTGGACAAGAAAGCTTATTTAAAGAAATAATTGCTGAGAACTTCTTAGACTGACAAAGAGATTTGGACATGCAACTTCATGGACCTAAAAGGTAACTCCAAGATGTCAAGCCAAAATGATCTCCTCCAAGATCCATTATAATAAAACTATAAAATCAAAGACAAAGAGAAAAGTTAAACACAGCAAGAGACAATAAAGTCCTCCATACAGAGGAACCCCATAAAGACATCAGTGAATTTTTCAGCAGAAACGCTGCAGGGCAGAAGAGAAGGGATGGTATATTCAAAGCAGTGAAATAAAAACTGCCAACAAAGAATACCCAGCCAAGTTGTCTCTCAGACATGAAGGCATGATAAAGACTCTCCTAAGTAAACAAAAGTTGAATTTACTCCATTAAAATAATGAAATGACCTCCTTATCACTAGACCTGCCTTACAAAAATGCTGAAGTTCAAGCTAAAATAAAAGATGCCTATTTCTAACATGAAAAGCACCACAATGGTAAAGGTAAGTATATAGTCAGATTCAGAATGCTCTAACACTGTGATATTGTGGTGTGTTAACCAATTGACTCTAGTATAAAGGCTTCAGGCAAAAGCAATCCATAGGTGAGCAAGTATTAACCTTTTAATATCAAATGGAATCCTGGTGGAGAGGGGCTGGCCTGCCTGAATTGCTGAGAGGGCTCAGAGCAGAACCCCACTGTGCTATGAGAACACTGTGCTGTTTCTCCCAGCCTACGGGAGAGACATCCTGAGATCACAATGAGTTCTGGGAAGGCTGCTGCCTGCAGAAATGTAGCAAACACACCCACACCTACACCCACACCCAAGAATCCTCTCCTTCTCCCATCTGCCCTCCACCCCCATAGGTAAACTTATGCTTTGACCAGAAGAGTAGGGGACTTAATACAGATTGAAATTTATGGAAATTCTGTCTGTTGTTGCCCGAGCCCTGTCCGCCCTCCTGGCTCCACACTGGAAATACTCCAAAGCTATTGTAACCCTTTCAGATAATCTGAAAATTACTGTTTCAGTTCACTTAGTAGACAGACCCCTCACCCACAATAACAGAGGGTTATTCTTCAGAGCTCATTCTCTCGCTGCAGGGCTGCCTGCTCCTTCAGCTGCAATTCTTTGACTCCTCACTGAGGCTGCCAGGAATGAACGGGAGGGGGAAGAAGTGGGTGGTGGCAGGAGGCAGGGCCCCCAGAGAGAGCTGGGACCCTGCAGGCTCCAGTCTCAGGACGCCTTTCTGCCTCCATCCCCTGTTGCTGTTGCTTCAGTCCAGAGCTGCCAGGTAAGTGCTGGCGTCAGAGAGCAGCTGGGCTGGAAGAGGCAGGGGGCAGAGGTGGGAGTGCTGCCTGGGGTTCTCTGTTGCTTTTCTCCCACTCCAATGTAGACCCCAAATAACATGGGATATTATGAAAGTTCACATATGATTTGGTCAGTCTGCCATGTAGCCTGACGTTCTGCATTCCTGCTGATGTCAGGGCTGCTGCTCCAGGGACCACTTTTGACTAGAAGAACCTAGAATGTTTTCTAGGCCAGATAGGGTGAGATGGGAGCAGTAAGCTGGGTCCAGCATTGTGCTTAATGGACGTGCCTCCCTCACGCCTTAAGTATCTGACATGGATTCTGCCACCAACGGAATCCTGAAATTGCTCTCTAACGGAACAAGAGATGCTTACAAATATTATTAACAAAATCAGGATGTAACTAAAAATCTATTTACATGTTTGAAAACCTCTTCAAATGCTGGCCTTTTCTTCCTCTCCCAGTCCTTAAACTTATGAATATGCTTCACTGACTAAAATCTTGACAGGGTTCCTGCTAAACTTTGCCCCAAATAAATAAACTTGCAAAGAATTTCTCCACTCCTAGAAACAGAGTGATGCCCCCTGTGCCAGCTCCATGAACAGTGCTGAGCCCTCAGCTCTCTGAGTCCTGATATTCAGCCTTGGGACTCTGGCCCTGTGGGGTAAAGCTGCAGACCCATTTGTGGGAGAAGGATTTGGGCCTCAGAGAAGGAGAGATGTGGGCTGGGGACAACTGGAGAGATGGGGGCAGCCACAGGGTCCCAGGAAAGCAAGGGTGAGGGAAGGCTGTGCTTAGCATCCGGTCATGTAGGAAATGCCCTTAGGTCTGTGGATGTTGGGAGATACAACACGATATTGACTGCGTCCTCCATGAAGCCCCAGAATGTGTGTCCAATAAGTGTCATTTTGGTGACAATGGTGAGGAGTGGGGGAGGGCAACAGACATGGAAAAGTGCTTAGAATTAGATTGTGAGGGTTCCAAAGGCAGAGGCCCTCAGGCAATACCCTCCACCCTGCTTTTTCTGCTTTCTCCCTTCCTGACCCCAAAGCTCTGTGGTGAGCTCTGGGGGAATCCTGAGATTGGTCCTGAGAGCCTTGTGGAGGACCTTTGGGGGTCTGGCCAAGGCATGGGATGGGTATGGATACTATTTCTTAAACTAGGAATATGCCAGGCCTGTTTTGTATTAATTCCAGGTCTGCTAGGAATGTGCTGGAAATGTATTTAGAGGGTGCTGGGTCTACACTTTGAAATGAGATTAGGCTGAGAGGAAAGCTCGAGAATTTATCAAATTGGCATTCAGTCTGGTAACTTTCTAGGAGAGCAAGGGCAGACACACCCAGGGCCCGGCCACCTCTCCTCAGAGCAGTGGCCCTACAAACTAAAAAGGCAGGACAGGACTTCTGGCCTCCTCACAGGTGGAGCTGGGTGAGGAGGAAGTGCCACCAGCCTGGAAATGAACTGACTATCATGCCCCATCAAAAGGAAGTTTAGAAAAACCCTTTGAGATGACATCTTGCTTGACAGAGCTGTTAACTGAAGCCAGGCATGGAGAGGTGGTGGTTCCGTGGCACCCTCAAGCAGTGGCTGTCACCTGGGGGACACTTAGCACTCTCTGGACATGTGTGGGTGAGAGGGGATATGCTACTGGCATCTAGTGACTTAGAGACCCCAGTGCTGCTAAACATCTTATAATGGACAGGATAGCACCCCCACCCAACATTATCAGGCCCATATGTCCATAAAGGCAAGGTTGAGCAACTAGGCCAATGTTGCAAAAGCCAGGGCCAGCCTTGGGAGCTGACCTTCCTTTCGGTCCCCCTGTGGAACGTGATATCTCTCCAAACCTTAGTTAAACAGTTATTGAGAAATTGCTTTCTTTTCCGGGCATTTCACTTAGTGCTTTCTCTCATCCGGTAAGTCAGCTGGTAATTTTGCTTAATTGCTGTCTTGATTTTCAAATAAGGAAACAGGCTTTGACCCCTTATTTATTTACCTTCTATTATTTTCAGTTACTCATCTTTTTTAAAAAAATATTTATTTATTTATGCATACAAGAACTGGGGTGTAGGCCAGAAGTACGGGGGGTGAGAAGACTCACCAGAGACAGACTGCAGGGCAGAACAGGAGGATCTACTGAAATACACTGCTGAGGAGAGCAGCAGGGAGACAGGAGAGGTCTGCTGAGCCATATGTGGGTTAGTTACCTGGCCAGGATCGAACTCAGGCTGCAATGCCTGGTGATAGCTTGATAGCTGATAGCTCTCTGTCTTTAACCCCTGTGCCACCAGGGAGGACCCCAGTTATTCAGCTTCTTCCTCTGAATTTGGGAAGAATCACTCAAGGTGCTTTCCAGCAATTTCCCAACTTGAGTTCCTCAGAATCTGTCCAATGACCTTCAAAATGATCTCAGTTGTGATGACCTTCTTCCCACTCTATCTGTGGTAGGTCCATTCATTTAAAAGATCCATTTGCTCTCATATTTGAGGAGTCTTGGAATGAGAGAGGATACATCTTTATCTTCAATCAGTCAGGTTGAATCATAAGACTGATTTTGCACATTTCTGGAGACTAAAATTAGACATTTTCTAAAGATTTTACTTTGTTTTATAGAAAAGAATTTTCGGCAACCTGCTATGCCTCACAGTCTATAATGGAGTAGAAACTAGGGCCTGATGGGCAGACATTCGCAAACTGATTCCTAGTGGCTCAAGATACAGTTTCTCACAGTTGGTGGATGGTGACGCATTTCCAGACACCTTTACAACAGTCTCTTAGATGATTCTCAATCTCTCCCTTCTGACTATTCAGAAGTGACTGTTCTGCAGAGGTTTTGGCATATGGCCTGTTCTGTAGATTATGACTCTAATAGTCAATGAAAATTGCTTTGTGTACTTTCTGAGTATTATAATTGGGAAGCTTCTATGAGACATTTAGGCATTAGCTGCCAATTGAACTCTGAAAATCAGATTATGATTATTAGAGTTAAAGGGGAGGTGTTTTCTCGTGTTCATAGAGAGAAAACAGGATGGTCTGAATTATGGGAGAGAGAATTGAAGTACTTGAAGAGGTAGGAGAGACCTGAGGACACAGGCTTAGTAGGGAGGGCAGCCTGGGGCACGTGAAAAGCCACTTCTTACTCTGAAATGCTATGGAAGGAAATAACAAAGAAGATAGAGGAGCACCTGTGGGTTTCATATCAAAGAATCTATCTTCTCTGTGGAATAACGTGTTTGCACAGGCCTCTGAGCGTGAGGCGGACCAGGTGTGTAAAAATTTGCGTTGAATGGGATGGTTAGAAAGAGCTGCTGGGCCTGAGGAAGGCTGCTGATGAGACAAAGATGTCACAGCTGGGCTTGGAGCCTGCGGTGACTCGTCCAAAGACCTGAGGAGGTTCTGAAAGCTGTCCTTGACCCAGGTCCCTTGTACCACAAGAGCAACATAAGCCCAAGAAACAGTGGCAAAGCAGAGATGAATTTCAAATCTTTATCCGGTCAGCTTTGGTTTTGGCTCTCAACCCCCTTCATGTTTAACTAGTAGATTCTGCTGGGCTCCCTTCAAAATATTATGCTTCTCCGAAGCTGGCTGGTTCTAAAGAACATAAGACTAAAGCAAGCCCCACACCCACTCTGCTTCCTGGATTTCCCTCAAATGCCCTAAACTCACAGCATCTCCATCTTGTCACCGCGATGGGGAAGGGGCAGGTTCCGGACACCTGAGCAGCTGAGGGCACCCAGCCAGAGAAAAGCAGGCAGTGAAAGAATACGCCTCCCCCTGCTTTCCTTCAGGTGATGCCGACGGCGGTCTCAGAGCTGGCAGCCAATGCCTGGGGAAGCACCAGTTTTCAGAGGCCGCTGCTCTCTGACTAGTCAAAGTTTGGGAGCGAGTGAGGAGGAAGAGAGAGACAGAGACCTTCGTCCCCTCTAGCAGTGCAGGGGGCCACACCTGCTGCCACACCTGCAGCCACTCACCACTAGACAGAGATGACTCCACGTTCTCTAACGCGGCCCTGTCAGAACCCTAGTGTTTGAGCAACCAGCTCCCTGGAGAGGAGCAGGAAGGCTGCCTGGGCCAACCTGGCAGCAGGAGTGGAGGGCGGTGAACACACCTACACCCACAGTTGTTCTTTGTTCCCTCACAGGATGTGTGGCAGGTTCCTGCTTCGGCTGGCAGCTGAGGAGAGTCGCTGCGCCACCCCCGTGGGGCGCCTCCTGCTTCCCGTGCTGCTGAGCTTCCGCCTGGCACTGCTGGCCGCCAGCGGGACTGGGGTCTATGGTGATGAGCAGAGTGAATTCGTGTGTCACACCCAACAGCCGGGTTGCAAGGCCGCCTGCTACGACGCCTTCCACCCTCTCTCCCCGCTGCGCTTCTGGGCCTTCCATGTCCTCTTGGTGGCTGTGCCCAGTGCCCTCTACATAGGTTTCGCTCTGTACCACGTGATCTGGCGTTGGGAAGAACCTGAAAAGGCGAAGAAGGGGGAGACCCTGGTCCTGGAAGGGGAGGGCATCAGGGAGCCCTCAGAGGCTGGAAGCCCAAGGCTGCTCTGGGCCTACATGGCCCAGCTGGGGGTGCGACTGGTCCTTGAGGGCACAGCCCTGGCGGGGCAGTACCACCTCTTCGGGTTCAAGGTGCCCAGCTCCGTTGCATGCCGTCGAGAGCCTTGCCTGGGGAGCATAACCTGCAATCTGTCCCGCCCCATGGAGAAGAGCATCTTCCTGAAGACCATGTTCGCGGTCAGCGGACTCTGTCTCTCTTTTACTCTCTTGGAGCTGGTGCTTCTGGGCCTGGGGAGATGGTGGAGGAACTGGAAGCACAAATTTTCCTTTTCAAACTACTTCCCAACTTTAGAGCGCACCAGAAGACACAAGGAGGGAAGGGGCAGCGTCCCAGTGGTGGAGCAGTTCCCAGAAGCAGGTGAGAAGGGGCCCAGTGGCCCTCTTTCTTCCCACCCCTGAAGCCTCTGCGCTGCTGATCTTCTATGGCAGGCCCCTCACCCTCGAGAAGCGCACTGCCCATAAAGTAGATAACCAGGACCCGACAGGTCTGACTGCTGCTTCCAACCCTCTTCTCCATTTCTTCCTTCCACTGATTCAGGACCAAAGCGCTCAGTCAGGTTTTCCTCCTTCCCTTCCATTGAGGACTCTTCCCATTTAGAAAGTCTCAGTTTCTGGTTGATGCTCTACTTTGCAGAGTTGTGAAGACACCTGGCTCAACTCTGAAGAAACCCTATGATTGGATCTTCTTCCCAAAGTGCAGTGAGTAGGGGTTTATCTCCAGGACGCATTAGTGGCTATTGAAGCATCTGCAAGGGCCATGCTGTCCAAAACATCTCCTGGGAGAACCCATGCTTGAGCTGCTCACCAGAATTTCCTGGTGTAGGTGTCACAGTTTTTAAGGGTTCGGTCCCCGAGTCAGCCACCAGAAGCCTCCACAAAGCCGTGCCTTTCCCTGTCCAGCACAATAAATATTGACTATGGCAATCTCATTGTTGAAGACAGTCCTCCTTCCTGTCCTCTTTTTGGTTCTTCTGTGCCCTCAAATTCTCAACAAAGAGCAATTACCTGGTTTTGTTTTCTTCTTCTTAATCCCAAATTAACCCCCAAGTAAATGAGGAAGGCTCACTCCTAAGGGAAGTTATTTTGGTTCTCCTGGGGGCACTTATTCAACAACTAGGAAAATAATACTTTTTCTTTATGCTACACAAATGTTATATAAAGAATCCCTTATTTATAGCCAGAAGGACAGGACCCAGAGCCCAGCCAAGTGACCAAGACAGCAAGCAAGAGAAAAAAGCAAGAGGAAAAAGAGACCAAGAGAAAAAAGCAAATGTCATTTTGAATTCTTTCTTGATAGTGTCCATTTTCAAACAACTTTACTGAGAAATAGCTCACATGCCATGTAAGTCACTCATTTTGAGTACAAAAGTCAGTAACTATTCGTATATACAGAGAATTGTGCATCTATTCACACAATTTTAAAACATTTCTATCAACTCAAAAAGAAATCCTTAGCTACTACTCTCAAATTCCCATATCCTTACATTTAGGTATTTGTAAGCAACCACTCATCTATTTTCTGCCTCGATAGATTTTCCTATTTTGGGTTTTTCATACACATGGAGTCATACAATGCAAGGTCTTTCGTGACTGGCTTTTTTCACTTAGCACAGTTTTGAGGTTCATCTGTGCTGTCTTAGTCCTTCACTCCTTAATATGGTTGAATATTATTTCATTGGATGGCGAGACCACATTTTGTTTATCTGCTTCTCGGTTGATGCATACTTGGCTTGTTTCCACGTTGGGGCTATTATGAATAATGGTGCTATGGCCATTCATATACTAATTTTTGTGTTCTCTTGGATAAACATCTAGGATTCGAATGGCTGGAACATACGGTAACTCTTTAACTTTTTGAGGAATTGCCAAACCATTTTCCACAGCAGCAAGGTATAAATGGGTTCAATACTTGGCATTTGGGGTTTTTGTTTGCTTTGATTTTTTAACTGTAGCCATAGTAGTGGCTGTGAAATGGCATCTCATTATGGTTTTGATTTGCACTTCCCTAATGACCTAATGATGTTCATTATCTTTCCATCTTTTTACCGCACATCTGCATGACTTCTTTGAAGTAATATCTCTTCAAATCCTTTGCTCATTTTAAGATCAGATTGATTGGGCCTCCCCTGGTGATGCTGGTGGTTGAGTGCAGCGCTGCAAAGCTGTCCAAAGCCTTGGCAACGCTGGTTTGATCCCGGCCGGCCAGGGAGGGTCCCATATGGCACGGCAGACCTCTCCTGTCTCGTCTGCTGCTCCCCTCAGCAGTGTATTTTGTTAGTCTGCCTGTTCTGTTCCCCACTCTGTCTCTGGTGAATCCTCTCACTCTCCCGAGCATCTGGCCTGTACCCCAGTTCTTGTATAAATAAATAAATCTTAAAAAAAAGATCAGATTGATTGTATTTTTGTTGTTGAACTCTTTATATATTTTGGATATACAATCTTTACTGGATATATAATTTCCAAATACTTTCTTCCCTTTTGTGGGTTGTCTTTCATTTCATTGATAATCCTTTGAGGCACAAAATTTTACATTTTGATGAAACCCAATTTATTTTTCCTCATGCTACTTATGATTTTGGTATTATATTTGAGAAAACATTGCCTAATCTGTGGCTATAAAGATTTACTCCTGTATTTCCTTCTAAGAATTTTGTAGATGTAGCTTTTACATATAGGTATTTATAATTAGTTTGTTAATTTTTCTATATGGTGAGTAATAAAGTCCAACTTCACTCTTTTGTATATGGATATCCTGTTGCCCCTGAACCATCTGTTGAAAAAACTATCCTTTTCCCATTGAATGGTTTTGGCATCTTTATTGAAAAATCAATCGATTGTGGATGTATGGGATTATTTCTGGGTGCACAGAAATCTATTTTGTTGCTTTATACAAGTATCCTTATGCCAATATCACATGGTCTGATTACTGTAGCTTTGTAATAAGGTTTGAAATTGGGAAATATGAACCTTATGTTGTTCTTTTCCCTGCCAATATTGTTTTGGTTATTTGGAATACCTTGGAATTCCATTTTTGTAAAAAGGTTGTGGGAATTTTGATAAGGATTGCATTGACTCTGAGTAATATGGGGGATATTGCCATCATAACAATATTAAATATTAAATCTTCTAATCCATAAATACATGATGTCTTTGCTTTTATTTAAATTTTTTAAATTTATTTCAACACTGATTAGTAGTTTTCAATTTTCAATTGTGGTCCTTCTTTGGTTAAATTTATTCCTAAGTATTTTATTTCTGCTCTAATTTTTTTTCTTATTTCTTATTTGTATGTGTAATCTGGGTTTGTCAGCAACTGAATGCTTATTTTCCTCCAATTCCCTTTGCTCATTTTGGTCCCATCTATTTTTTTGTATCTTTCTTGACCTTGTTCACGAATTACACGACCAGCATTTGATTTATTTTCAGCCTGGCTCCATTTTCCATTTGGAAAGATGTAAGTATTTCTTTCCTCAAGCAGCTGCTATTTGTGCATTTTTATATATTTTCCTTATTCATTTGTTGCATTGTGGTAACATTCTTTTTTCTAGTTTCTTCCATGTTTTCAAGCTACATTATTAAAAGGTGCATTTTTTTAAAAAGTTGAGGTAACATAAGTTTACAATGTTATATAGATTCCAAGACTGCATGGTAATGCCCACCCACCACCAATCAAGCAGGCTTCCTACACCTTCCCCCTTCTGGTAACTGCCATTGTGTTGTCATAGTCCAAAGGTTTGTTTTTGTTTTCTTTCTATTGCACAAATGAGTGGAATCATACAGTATTTGCCTTTCTCCTTCTGACTTATTTCACTTAGTGTAATCCCCTCAAGCTCTATTCAGTTTGTCTTATATGGCAAGGTTTCATCTTTTTTATGAGTGAGTGGTATTCCACTGTGTGTGTGTGTACCACATCTTTATCCATTCTCTGTCTTGGGCACTTGAACTGTGTCTATATCTTCACTATTGTGACTAGTGCTACAATGAACATTGGAGTACAAATATACTTTTGAGTTAATGTTTTCATGTGCTTTAGGTAAATACCCATAAGGTAGTTCTATTTCAGATATTTTTGAGGATCCTCTATTGTGTTCCCCATAATGACTATACCAATTTACTGTCATACCAACAGTTGACAAGGTATTTTTCCCCTCCACATACCTGCCAACATTTATTATTTCTTAATTTTGATAATTGTCATTCTAACCAGTGTGAGGTAAAATATCATTGTGGCTTTGGTTTGCATTTCCAAATATAAGCAATGCAGAGCATCTTTTTGTGTGTCAGTTTGCTATCTGTCTCTCTCCTATGGTGAAATGTCTGTTTAGATCCTTTTCCCATTTTTTGATCAGGTTGTTTTTGTTGTCGTTGAGTTGTACGAGTTTATAAATTTTGGATACTAACCCTCTGTCTGATATATGATTTGCAAATATCTTCTCGCATTTTGTTGGCTGCCTTTCCATTTTAATGATGGTTTCTTTCTGTTGTGCAGAAGATTTTTTTTTTTAAAGATTTATTTATTTATTTATTTATTTATACAAGCACTGGGTACAGTCAGAAGCACGGGAAGGTGAGAGAATTCACCAGAGCCAGAGCCGAGAGCAGAACAGGCAGACTGATGAAGTACACTGCTGAGGGGCGCAGCGGGCGGCAGGAGAGGTCTGTGTGCCATGTGGGAACCTCACCCGGGTGAATCGAACTGGTGCTGCAGAGGCTGCGGGCAGCTTCGCAAGCCAGCACTCAACCGCTGCGCCACCAGGGAGGACCCAGAAGATCTTTAGTTCAATGTAGAACCATTTGTTTATATTCTCTTTTGTTTCTTTTGCTATTAGAGATGAATCCACAAAGATATCACTAAGACTGATGTTAAACAGTTTTTAACCTATGTTTTATTCTGTGCATATTATGGTTTCAAGTCTTATATTCAGTCTTATAGTCAAGTCTTTACTTCATTTTGAGCATAAGCTGATGATTAGTCTCATTCTTTTACACGTGGCTGCCCAGTTTCCCCAGAACCAATCATCAAAGAGACTTTTCTTTCTCTATTGTATGCGCTTGGCTCCTTTGTCATAAATTAGTTCTCCACTTAGATATCATTTTAATTCTGAACTCTCACTTCTATTGCATTGATCTGTGTCCATGTTTTTATTCTACTACCATACTATCTTACATCCTGTAGCTTCATAGTATAATTTGTAGTCAGGGAGCATGATGCCTCCATTTTTTTCTTTTTTCTAAGTGTTTTTTTTACTGAGGTCTTTCATGGTTCCGTATCATTTTAGGATAATTTGTTCTATTCTGTGAAGAAGGCCATTGGAACATTAATAAGGATTGTGCTGAATATGTATATTGCTTTAGGTAGAATGGTTATTTTGACAATATTGATTCTTCTGATTCACGAGCACAAATACCTTTCCATTTCTTTGTGTTCTTCAATTAACCAGTTTTAATGCTTGATGTTGCCCCCCTGCCATCTTGTGGCAGTTTCTGTTACTGCAGGGAGGGAGTTTTCTAAATTCTCTCAAAAGTTCATGTTTATTCAAGAATGCTATTAATATTGAGATCCCAGAATACAAAAGGACTTAGGTAGAGTCTTGGGTAACAGAATTAACCATACAAGTAGTTCATGCATGTTTGTTTGTTCCTTGTCTTTGGAGTCAGCTCTGCAAAAATATAGCTACGAATGATGTCAAGGGGCTTATTGCCGTGTTTTCTATTAGGCATTTTATGACATCAGGTCCTACATTCATGTCTTTAATTCCTTTTGTGGTGAATTTTATGCATGGTGTAAGATAGCAGTCTAGTTTCATCCTTTGCATGTCTGGTTTTCTCAATACTATTGAAAGAGACCATACTTTCTTCACTATATATTCTTTTTTTTTTAATAATTTTATTTTATATAATTCTTACATCATTTTTCATTTTTGCATAATGTATGCATTTTCATTTTGGTTATATTCCCCATACAATTCCCATACACTTTTTCTGACCCTAATCCCTCTTTTCCTCCCCCTGCCCCCCCACTGTACTGTGTCTCTGCTCTATAGTTGCTTGCTGATTTTGACTTTTACTTTATTGCAATTAGTCTTTTTTCTGGTCTCTTATTTAGGTTTTCTAAATTCCTGCTATGAGTGAGACCATTCTGTATTTTCCTTTTTCTTTCTGGCTTATTTTGCTGAGTATGATCCCTTCCAGCTCCATCCATGTTGCTGCAAATTGCATGAGTTTATCTTTTTGATTCCATTGTGTATATATACCACATCTTCTTGATCCAGTCATCTATTTTTGGGCATTTGGGTTGTTTCCATAGTTTAGCAATTGTAAATAGTGCTGTTATAACCTTAGGGGTGCAGGTGCCCTTTTGAATTAATGTTTCTGTGTCCTTTGGGTAAATACCTAGGAATGGAGTTGCTGGATCATATGGAAGCTCCATCTTGAGCAGGTTGAGGAATCTCCACACAGCTTTCCATAGTGGTTGGGCCATTTTGCACTCCCACCAGCAGTGCAGGAGAGTTCTTTTTTCTCCACATCCTCACCAACATTTGTTGTTGCTAGTTTTTTTAATATGTGCCATTCTCACTGGAGTAAGATGATATCTTATTGTAGTTTTGATTTGCATTTCCCTGATTACAAGTCTTCACTATATTTTCTTGACTCCTTTGTCATAAATTAATTGTCCACACACAGGTGAGTTTACATCTGGGTTCTCTATTCTGTTCCATTGATCCCATTTCTATCCAGCTTTTCTATCCCTATCCAAAATGTCTGTTTTCACTCTTTTACCATACTGCTTTGAGTTCTACTGCTTTGTTATAAGTTTGTTACCAGGGAGTATGATACCTCTAGCTTTGTTCTTTTTTTTCCTCAATATTTCTTTGGCTATGCAAGATCTTTTGTGGTTCCATACAAATGTCAAAATTATTTGTTCTATTTCTGTGAAAAATTACATTGAATTTTTGATGGGGATTGCATTGAATTTCTCGATTGCTCTAGGTAGTCTAGACATATTAATTGTACTTCTCCATGATACAGAATGTCTTTCTATTTGTAACTTCTGCAATTTCCTTCATTGGTGTCTTATGGTTTTCAAAGAATAAATAAAATAAACTCAAGAAAGCAAGACATTTTTTGGGCCTCCCCGGTGGCGCAGCGGTTGAGCGCTGGGTTGCGAAGCTTCCTGCAGCCTCTGCAGTGCCAGTTCGATCCCCGGCTGCTCCCCGGCCATCGGAGGAGGGTCCCACATGGCGCGCAGACCTCTCCTGCCGCCCGCTGCTCCCCTCAGCAGTGTACTTCGGTCCTTCTGCCTGCTCTGCTCCCCGCTCTGGCTCTGGTGAATTCTCTCACCCTCCCGCGCTTCTGACTGTACCCAGTGCTTGTATAAATAAATAAATAAAAATAAATCTTTAAA